ACCGCTTTCACGCGTGTGGGTGGGTTGCCTGCCTACTCGCGCGGCGCTGTTGGGCGCCAAGGTGAGCGACGCGGTAGGCAAAGCCCTCCCCTCCCACACGCACGCCTGCGTCTTCTCTGAATCACCGGGTACTTTGGGGGCACTAATTTCATCACGTAGCAATGGATCGAATTTCAACATCTGTGTCAAATTACGTGAAATGATTTGTCATATCGCCAAGAAATGCCAACAGCTATGAGCAAGGTGGCTATATGAGAAAACTTTATCCCAGGTCAGGGGACAGAGACATCCTATCTCTTGAAACCTTAGCGCGAATCGGAACTGCAAATATTTACGGAGAAGGCTCTCTCACATTGTGCGACTCTTTGCATCCTGCTTCGCGGCACCCCTCAGAGGAAGCGGTTCATTCTTCATTTGGCACCGTGAGACGGGTCACGGGTCATTATACCAGGTGGCTGATTAACCCCGCGCACCTCTGTAGTTGGACTGTACCGCACGCACGAGTGCGGGCGGCTTGCCTACTCGCCCGGCCCGTAAGGCGCCGTGGACAGGGGCGATAGGCAAGCCCGCCCGCACTCGTGCGTGCGGTACAGTCCAACTACAGAAGTGCGGGGGGTTAATCAGTCACCTGGTACACTACATTTGAGGACGAAAACCATTCGGTACCGATCACCATTTGCTCAACTATAGGGAAAGGCGTGTCGGGCGACGTGCGGCTGAACGGGCGCCCCGCCAGCGCCTCGCTGCTGTCGAGGGTGTGCGGCTTCGTCCCGCAGCAGGATGTGGCCACCGAGAGCCTCACGGCGGCCGAGCACCTCAGCTTCATGGTAAGAGGCGCCCTCGCCGTCCTGCCTGTGCGTGTGGCGGTGTTTTGCAAAGTGTAATGTAAAGTCGGCAGAGTCTATAAAGACGGACGACAACTTCTCCGAAAAGGAGTGTTCAAACTTCCGTCCGTGGCCGTGTGCCGGCTGTAGCCACAACTAACTTAGCGACCCCCGCCCCCCGGCCGCCGCTGCGCTGCCCCTAGGCCGCGATGCGCATGGACGCGCGCGCGCCCCCCGCGGCCCGCAGCCGCCGCATCCTCGGGCTGCTGGCGCACCTGGGGCTGACGCCGTGCGCGCACACGCGGCTGTCGCTGCTGTCGGGCGGGGAGCGGCGCCGCCTGGCGCTCGCCGTGCAGCTGCTCGTGCAGCCGGGCCCGCTCGTGCTCGCGCTGGACGAGCCCTGCTCCGGCCTGGACGCCGAGGGGTCGCGCGTCGTGCTCGAGGCCCTGCGCCGCGAGGCCGGCCGCGGCCGCGCCGTGCTCTGCACCGTGCACCAGGCGGCGCCCGACCTGCTGCGCCTCTTCACGCACATCCTGGTGCTGGCCTCCGGCAACGTCGTCTACCACGGGCCGCTCGACCGGGCGCAGCCCTTCTTGGCAGAGTGAGTCAGAATACACCGGGTGTGAAACATCTACAAAGTTCTTTTTTGGTCATGAACGGCTCCTGCCCGATCGATTCTGACCCGATCCGACACGGGGTTGCCCCGGGGGAGAAGAGTAATAGTGTGGGCGTGCTCTCAGGGCTGGCGCCGGAGGCCCCGCCGGCTGGACGCCGTCCACGCCGCTCAACAGCATGCTCCAGCAGCTCAACGACCCCGCGGCGCACCTGGACACCGCCAGGGTTTGCGCCGCCTTTTCCTTCTCCGAGCAGGCCTGCCTCCTTGAAGACTACCCTACTAGCGAGGTGTGTTTAGGGGTAGCCCGTGGGGGGGAGAGGGCACTTACTGTGAGTTTAACTTTTATTGCATGCGGCTTTATCGTGATACCGGTTCACAAGGAGGGCTTCAAGAATCCAAAAAGCGCGCCTTCTTCTTTTATTGTCAACATTTCCTTATCTGTTTCAGGAAGTCCTCGCTCGCGATGCCATACGGGCCTCTGATATGTGAGTAGTGCCGCCAGAGTGCGTGCCGTTTACAATGCACTTACTCCACTTTCGGAAACCACGGGTGTGGGTACGAGGGGGAAAATGGGTGGGGTGGAACAGTGAAGCATTGTTACGGTCCATATCACGGTTGAACATGTTTCTCCATTTCTCTGAACCATGTCGCTAGCAAACACATCTCTTGGATCGGCGAAGTTGGTTGGCTTCTGTGGCGGGAGTCTGTGGATGGTAGGCGTAACAAGTCCCGCAACCTCGCTCAGATGGGCATGTTCGTGGTAAGAATATACAAATTTGTTTTTGAGCTGTTGTTTTAGTCCTTGTTTATGCCATTCCGTTTTCGTCACGCATTTTGTTCCGGCGAGATTCTCCGAATACCTGATAGAGTTTCCCTCCGGCGTGCACCCCTCTCACTCACCGCACCAATGATCGCAGCTGACGGCCACCATCATGTCGCTGGCCTTCATGGAGGTCTCCCTGTCCTCGCTGGCCGGGGTGCAGTCGGTGCGCGGCCTGCTCTACATCATCGTGAGCGAGGTGGTGTTCACGCACTCGTACGCCGTGTTCCACACGTTCCCCGTCGAGCTGCCCGTCTACCTGCGGGAGGCCCACCTCTACTCGTCGTCGGCCTACTACGTCGCCAAGGTGCTGGCCACGGTGCCGCGGTCGCTGCTCGAGCCGCTGCTGTTCGTGTCGGTGATCCAGAGCCGGGTGGACCTGACCGCCGGCGGGGGCGTCGCCACCTTCGCCCTGCTGCTCGGCATCCTCTTCCTCACAGCGCTCACCGCATCCGCCTACGGTATAGTACAGCAGATAATGGGCGCGAGGTGAGGCGATGGCGCGGAGCGGAGCG